AAATATGTTTTCAAGCATTTGTTCATAAAACAAATACATAGGTACCTACTGTGTTTACTTAGTTGTTATGAAGGAAATACACATATAAGTCAATAGGAGCTTATTCGGAGTCTACAATATGATATAGTACCAACTTATTCTGCATTAAAAACCTAATAACATTACGAGTACGTACATCGCAAAGCAAAGCTTAACGTTGTTTTTTGTGCTTATCAAATTAATAACTATGATTTCATATAAAGCTTTAATAATATTAACAGTGATATTTGATATTATATGCTGTATTGGAGCTGACAGAGGTAACAAGTATAACAACTAATAATTATTTTTCAATATAAAAATTTATATTAATTAATTACAATAACACTAATAAGAGGATTTTATTAAAAATATTACAAAAGTGATAGTTATTGAATGGTTCCTACTATTCACTATAAAATATTTGTAAGTTAAAATATTATTTTTGTCATTAACCACTTGTATTTGTTTTTACTAAGAATTTGACAAAAAATTGATAATCAGAAATAATTGACATGCGTATATTATGTGTGTTGATAGTATGATTTACTTTTTAGTTTATATGCTTACTGTTTAATTTTGAAAATGCGATTTTTATCCATACTCCATAGATAAACACACGATTTCCATGTTATACATAACTGTATAGGTACGGGATGTACAATGCAAAAATTGACTCGTCTTGCGTCTCTATCTTTAAATGTTTTAACGGATCTCGATGTAGAAGATCTATATAACCTTTCAGTATCCATGCGTTAGTTCCTTTCTTCAAATATTTCAGCTGGGGCGTCGCCTGAGTGTATCCCGTTAATCATATCGTACCTTTTTAATAGCCTTACTGCGTCCGCGATAATGTCGTAAATAATTTTGGGATATCCCATGTGTGTCCCCAATATTATTGCTAACAATATTTATATTTATGGATAAAATGCATAGATAACTTTTAATGTTACACTGTAGTCCATACGTGGAAACATACTATTGTCTATTCGTAACTGGTCTTTGTCCTTTGACAACCACGTGCAGTAGTGATGTGTATGCACTATGCAGCTAATAGTTTTATGTGAATATATTTAAATAACATTTTATATTATTACATAATATTCGTACTATATACTTGAGAGATGTCGAAGTCGTTGGAAAAAAATGAGTTTACGAAATTAAATTTATGTCTTCACCCCAACATTATGTGAGCAGATTTTGAAAAATCCATTCACATGGGTGCAAAAAATGTTTGGCCAGATATCAGTACAAAAGATTGTGGGTTTCGTCTGAGATAGACATGGTACAGAATTTTGGTTTAAGTATTTATTATTATGATGATGTACCAGAAATAGGATAGTTGTGAAAGAATATATTTGGATTAGGTACCCATGCTAAATGAATGCCATATTAAAATAAGTATTACTGATTAGTTTATGTCAATCAAACCTGATGATGAATAACTAAATGAGATTATGGATTATCTCACAGAAAACTATATTGATCCACAGTCTGACTTCTCTCCTCACACATGGGCAGAAATGAGCAGTATCAGTCAACGAACAACAAATACATGTGAAAGCTTATATTCTAAATTTGATTCATGTTTTTACACACCTCATCCAAACATAATATATTCCTTCTTTCTAATTAGTGACCTTTTTAGTTTTTCTATTGAGACGCACTCGGGAGTTGCCCTTTCATCAGGTGTCATGGCCGACAGCTGCTGAGCATATCTGATTTTTCTACCAATGTTTTTTATTTTATTTTTTTATAGCGATAGCATTGGGGACATGGGTGAGTCTCTCGGAGGTGTTAAGGGTGAAATGAGCCTCTCTTCGGATTCAATGAATAACTATAAAATATATTAAATATATTCACAAGTGATATAATTTAAAAATTTACGTGCATTTAATAATATATTAAATTTATGAATTACCTCTCGTGTCACATGGTTCAGCAAAGATTCTGCTAGTTGTTTAGCTGCGAACATTTGTATTTGGTCGACCAAGTTTGGACAAGTTTTCTCCGTTCGATTGTCTTGCGCGTTCTTAAAACGAATGTTATCATTTCTTCTCGATTTTTTGCCGGCGATTGAAGGAGATCAAATTTATTACGTAGGTATGCCACAAACGTATCATCCTGCTCTATAACTAATGGAGCTGTGTATATTTCTTTACGCACGGTGGCTTCAAAAGTAGAAGATTCTAAATATTGCAGTTGAATAAGATCAGCTCGATTTAAGAGTACTCTGCATCCGACATCGGTTTTTGCTTCAATTACAAGTACATTTTCACCGCTGTATATCATGCTAGATAATTTATAAAATTGGGTATCCAAAAATATTATACGCTTATATTTTTCGGGTTGTTCCAATACGAATGACAGAATATTTCCCATCAGCGAAAATATGCTTCTTAAAATATCCGGTGATATATTAACATGCCGAGATGATGATAATAAATGAATAATCGGTCGATAAAACATCATATAAATATCTTTATCGGTTCTATAAAGTTCATCACTGTTGCATAAACGTTGAACAAATATATTATTTATTTACAACTTACCAGGGTCATGGTAGTATGGTATATTCAAAAAATGATAAATCGGTCGTTATTTGTTATCATCGTTTTTTGATGAACAATAATATCGTGATATGACTTTATGATAAAACACTGTCATTAGTTCAATAAAGTTATAGAGTTCTTTCTATTATTTATCGAACCAAAATCGGGCCTTCAATTTATCGAACCGATAACAACATATTTATCGGATCGTTAAAAGATAAAAGTCGTTTATGCAACAGATAATATTTTTATCGCACCGATTTCTGTTTTATCGAACCGATAACTACTTATCGATCGTTTATGCAACCCAGCATTAAACTCACAAAAAAAAATTTTCAGAGCGAGTGAAATATATGCGTGTACGATGGTTAAAGACAGTGGACGGACTAAAAGACTGTCAAGTAGCCGAGTCGGCGGGTTCTCTATAAGTTGTTGAGGTGGTTTATTACAGTGCGTTAGTACAAATGTATACCTACTAGCGCTAGATGCGTTGACCACGACTTTTACAGTGCGCATGCGCTACGCGAGGTGAGCTCTGGTGTATAGAAAAGGTTATGCTTGTGATTTTATATTTTATTTTCAAACTATATTTATAAATATAATTTTAACGAAAAAAAATATGATAGCATGATAAGTAATATGATAAGTGATAACAGTCTTGGGCGGATATATAAGTGATTAGTGATAAGGGATCAGCGGATATATAAATGATAAGTGATAAGGGATACACATATGATAACATGATAAGGGATCAGAGGATCAGCTGATACACATATGTTAAGTGATAAGGGATCAGCGGATCAGCAAATTCACATATAATAAGTGATAAGGGATCAGTGGATCAGCGGATCAGCGGATGCGCCTTCTGAACTGTCTAAAACATACTACTAATAATATAATGTATGTACCTATAATAAAATCAATGACATTTATCAATTTTAACTACCTCTAGAATAATGTATTAAATATTTAAATGCAGTATTTTTTTTTTTAGAATGTGAAGGTAGGAGACTTTATATTAGTAAAAATTGTATTCTTCATATATTTTACAATTTATTTATACCTGAAAATATACATAACGATCATAAAGTAATTGAAGCTTAAGTATTTAAGTTCTACAGGCACACCTAGAAGATATTTCAAAATATATGTACATATAATGTAACTATTTATAATCATTCACTTCTTACGTAACTACTTCTTATTTTAAGCTACTTATCGTTATTTCGAATAACATGCATGTGGCAGTGATTAACTTTACGATAATTTAGTTAGAATTATATTTAATATTGAGTAGATTACAATTTTCATAAATTATATCTTTAAATAAATTATACGTTGGCTAATATATTTTTAATTTTGGAAAATGACAAACAGCTACATTACAAAAAATTGGGTTTATATGTAAGTATACGTTTATGGTATTATCAACAACTTTTAGTACACCGATATGTTCTTTTTATATTACTAGACCGTGTTAAAAAAATTTTTTTTTTGTGTATGACAATGGATAAAATTTGTAAAACTGTTTTGCAAACTATTGTTGTATAACAATACATGTATTATACAGTACCAAATATAAATTCATGTTAAATATTTTAACCCGTCAATGAATCAGGTTTGACTTATATATTATACGTATGATACATTTTTTATAGCTGAAAGTGGATTTTATAATATGATGTTAACACTACAATTCGGTAAGTTATTAAGGGTGATAATATTCTTTAGAAATTTAAAGTATATCAGGCTTTTCAATTTATTTTTAAGTAAAATACAGAGTTCATAACAAAATTGCATTATTGATTATAAACCTTATTAATTATTATCATGTTTTTAACTTATCACAACAAGATTAATTGTACACGTGTTATAAACTTTTTTCATAAACTGTGCGGTTGTTTACATTTGTGAATCATTGTCATGAAAAATTGGACATCAAAGAAAACTATAACGAATTTATAAACTACGTTAAAAGTATGGACATCACTGGAACGGAAAATAAGGGTAATTTAATTTTTAATCTATTTAGAAAAATAACTCTATTCTGGTTAAGGTTCCACTTTCTCGAATTACGTAGAATGAGCCGCCGATCAGCGCTTCACTCCTCAGGAAATTGATATGCGTTTTGTTATTGGTTGCCAATAATTATCGACTGTATAAAATGTTAAATGAGTATCGTACTCGTCATAGTTCGTGCTGCAACCATGTTACGCTTGAAATTGTGATAGGTGGTAGGAGGTAGGGTGTGTCAAATGTTAGGTGTACACGGATAAGATGAGTTTTAGTAAACCGAGTGGTTCAACCTAATTATCTTGAAAAGAGTATATAAGTGAATAATAAATTATTGTTTCGCATAAGTTACTTCGATTTTTAATAGAAAATCTAGATATACCATTTTAAGAGTTGCTACTAATAAGAGCGTATCTTTCATTCTATTCGCTGTAATAATACTTTTTACAACTGAGATTAGATGTACGTATTTAGGAGCCCGCTTGTGTATCTGTAGACAATAAGGGACACTATTTAGGTGATATTCAATTTATTCGCCACAGCCTATTGCGTTTTAGTAAGTCTGAAATTATTATGATTAGCGTGAGTGCGGATTGTATATACGAACAATCTACAAAATATTATGCACTGCATATTATAAACACTTGACGACTTCACACCGGACCAAAATGAAAAGCATGATTTTTCGCTCAAAATATTATCTTGAATAGAGTATATAAGTGAATAATTAATAATTCAATGGTCCGAGTCGAGTGGCTTAAGATCAAGAACAATAATTAAATTAAATTTACGTGTCTGATAAATTGTATTTTTCATTGAGATGTGTGCAACCAAAAATAACAAATGATACAAATTATAGTCATTATAAATTACTGTTAAAATAAGAATCCAATTTTTAATACTTATATTTCATGAAATAAACTCATTTATATAATATTGAAATTACTGGCAGGTTATTTAAATACATTGTATAGCCAAATTTGTAGTAAAAAATCACGTAAGTATTATTCGTAAATTATCGGTATTTATAATTAAATATATATATAATTTATAAAATTCGTGCTTTATATATTGTATTTTTAATTTTATTATTTATTAAGTTAGGTTAGTTTACCAAACCCTAAAGTAACTTAGTTACTTAATTACCTAATCTCATAAAATTTATATAATTCATTTATTAGATATTGAGGGCTCAATATTTACTCCAAAAGAATATTGTGATTATGCATGTAAGTAATATTATGAACATAACAATATATTCATTTAATATGACGTATCTAAGGAAGCCGCTGTATGGTGCGTTGTACGTGCTATACCTGTGACAGCATCTCTGGTGAGGGGAGGCAATGGCACGATCGGTTCATAAAAGCACATAATGCACAAAAATGAAGTAAACAAAAAATAAATCAATACATACATATCATTTGATAGCGAAGCCCCGAAGAGTCAATCAGGCCTTCTGGTAGTAACGAAAACAGGAAAACGTTTATGAATAACATTGATGATGATTAAGCTTCACCGAATAATGTGTTTAAATAACCAACTGCGTCATTATGTTTATGGATCTAAAACACTTAAACACCCCATATTCGTTTATAATATAAAATGTAAAGGATTGCTAAGTGTAATGCTTAACTTAAATATTTCTCCTAAAATTATAAATTGTCTTATAATTGCAGTTGTAATCCAGTGTAAATAAGCACGAATGTCGTATCTTAGTTCTTAATATTTTACAATTTATCAATATAAGACAATGCATTTGAATTATGACGAACTTCTGTCGTCGAACATCGGTGATCACATATTATATATTATATATATGTATATTATATTATATTATATTATATTATATTATATTATATATTATATATATTATATGTATATCACATATTATATATTATATATATTATATATCACATATTATCGCTGTTATACACGTTTTCAATAAAAATATTGTCACGTGTTCGCGAATCGGGAAAATTGAAACTATAATATTATATTATTATATAATATTAAAAATATTTTAAAACTGGTATGTTTATTGGCTAACTGAGTTGTTGTCGAATTGGGATTCGGGAAAGTGGGTATAAATCGAAAAAGTAATGTAATTAATTGTTGATTTATCCGATAAGATTAAGTATCGAACAATCCCAAAACTTAATAGATATACAGGGAGTTTACCAATTGCGCTTAAAATGACCTAGTAATATACCAATTGCGAGCTGTCTTTTTTGGGTCGATATACCAATTGCGCTCTGTCTTTTTTGGGTCGATATACCAATTGCGCTCTGTCTTTTTTTGGGTCGATAGACCAATTGCGCTCAGCTGTTTTCAGGGTTTATAATATTATTCTATATTACACCTAGTATATAAAAATACTTTTATAAAAATATGTATTATTTTATACATTGATAATCAATAACGGTTTGCCTTTTTCACTCAGAACTTGTTGTAAGAGGTCCATATTGTAACTTCAAACACTCAAAATATACTAAACTGCTGACAAGGTTACCTATTTACTATCTATGTTTTTATTAGTACACTTTTTGATCGTTAAATTTCTGTAAATATACAGGGTGAAAATAAACAAATTACAATATCGTACAATCGTACAATCGTACATATAAATGTCATACCAATGTGATAATATGTGTTATCCCATATATAGTATATGTGTGTATAGTACCTATTAGACAGTGTATGGAACGTACAAATTAGGTAGATAAATAGGTGGATAACGATCATAAATGATAATAAAAACTTGTTATACGAGTAGTCTATCACTCAAATTCATACTTTATACCTAATATGTTCGTTAATAATAATAAATAAAATATTTTATATTTCACCCTACGTCATGTCGGGATAGGTACTATTATCATTTATCAGCTTGTAGCTTGTCGTATTTTCCCGTAATTTCGTTTTGCTTTAAATTAAGTATATTTGAATGTATATTAGTTAGCTATATTTAATTGTGTATACACATATGTAACTTCTTCCACAGTGTAGTAACTTACATATGCCCATGTCAAAATAAGGAACCTAAAATATAAGTAGCGCAATTGGTGTACTGACCTAAAATTTAAGCGGCGCAATTGGTATACTGACCTAAAATACAAATATTGTTTTAGGCGCAACTGGTCCATGCCCGATATACAATAGCTAGGAGCTTTAATAGTCAATACGATACACTCACGAGTCAACTTAAATTTGAATTTTTTTTAGTTTACATCTTAAAATAAATTGTTACCTTTTTTGTGCAATATAAAAAAGAATAAATAATTACTAATAAATTATAATAATATTTATTTTAAAATTAAATTTTTTTCACTTCCAAGTACATTTTTGTGCATATTTTAACTTCATTCTTTAGAGTTTTTACTTTTTAGGTCATTTTTGCATTTTTGTGTATTTTATAGGTCATTAAAATCCTAGCTCTAGTTATAAATTTATTTAAATAAATCTACGATACTAATAATCTTTTTAAAACTTCCAGTGTCAAAAGGTAAGTAAAAATATAAATGAATAATTAAATTTTAATACAAATAGGAATAAATAAAATAATAATCAATAATAATATAATATACTTGTATGAGCTATTAGATAGTTACGAATAAATATGCATATCGGCAATAGTAGTGTTATAACTAACCTTAAATAATACTAATATAATAATAAACTGTTATGTATTTTAGAAAATGATGGTAAGCAAAAATATGAATAAATAAAATTGATATTAATACAAAATGTTCGTGACTCGCATATCGGCAGTCCCCTTGATAAACAGTGTGATATTCTACCCGATCCACAAATAAGCCTAGACCTGTATAATATACATGGAAATGACATTAACGATGGCAATCAGCAAACCCTTTACGGTGTCTGTGCGGCTGTCTTAAGTCCGGTGGGTGCCGTCAACCGTCTTGTCTTTCAAGGCTACCTCTTTTTGCTGGACATCAGGCAAGTCCGCGAGCTGTAGTGCAGTGTAGCTTTCATGTATGGTTGATCAACCCACGTACTCAATTCGCCTTCTAATCTAGGAACATTCAAATCTCATATTTCAGTTCGTAGCACCTTGCGTGTTCTAGGGTGGTGAAGTTCGCTCTCGACGATCACACCATATAAAAGAAAATTATCACCTTAAAATGTCTACAAAAAGTCCGCTTTGGTATATGTCTATCTCTAAGGGATAACCCACTTTGATCCAAATAGAAAGAAACAGCATTGCACCCAAGAAGTCTTGGTCAGAAGTGTAATGAATTAATGTAAATAATACTATTATACTAGTAATAATAATCTGTCTGGCAAATCAGCACAAATATCTTATGTTAGTTTTTAATATTTTACAATAATTTATCAATGCTAAATTTATTGAGTATCGATCGTCAATAAATATATATTCGTATCTTATTAAAATATAATGATAAAATTAGTAAAGATTTCAAAAATAGAGTGACCACAAACGGCACAAACTGTGATGACCAAACAACGTCTTATATATTTTTCATGTGATAGCATTGAGGTACACTTTCCAAATATGATTTCCGATAACACATACATATTAAAGCGGGATTCAACATCAAAGAACAAACATCCATCCTAAGCTTCAGACGTAAAGTATATACAAATAGATTTTCGAAAACTAACAACTTCCTGACTAATTACGGAAATACACCTCACAAAATGTTGGTTTTCGTCGATACTGTCTCCTACTACAAATGCAAACTCTCAGGACACACCTCAAAACAGTGCGAAACTCCACAATCAAGAGCCTTAACAATCAAGGTAGATAAATTCTCCGATCTTAAAATTACTATCAGTAACACTTACTTAACCGCTAACAACCACTGTCACTGTTTGAGGGCAAGTGGTGGTGTGTCCATACTCGTCAACAAGTCCTTTCCTTCTGAAGAAATAATTAATTCAACTTCACAATCGTAGATTAAAAAAAATGCTACACATATCTACCACTTGGTACATTATTGTTGTTGACTTCAACAGCAACTCTTACATGTTGTTCATATAAAACCAAGAGGAAAAATCATAGAATAAATTTTAGAACAAAATGTAACACGGCAGTGCATAATAAGTAATAACAAAGCACACCAGAATAAATCTTTCTAATAGAAATCTCTCAGGGGTATCGACTTAACGTTTTCCACACCTTCCATAGCCTTAGCACAAAGACTTCACTGCCAAGTATTCCATTAAATATATAGTAACTATTAACTACCATACTTAAATCTAAGTAAATTCTTTTTTAAATGCACATCAAAAAACCACTCAACAATAAAATGGACCCTCAATAATCAGGACTGGCCATAATATTGAAATCATTTAAAAATTAAAATTAGTTTGACAGAATTCACACAGTCACTAAACATCAAAAATAGATTTGAAAACTATTTAGAAAAATAAGAATGGATGAATTAAATAAATATTTAAATAATCAAACATTTATTAAATTTAGAATTTGTTTATATTTTTAGAATGTGAGCAACAGATAAAAGACTTTAAATATGGTAATTATTTTTTTTTAGCAAAGTCTGTAGTTTAATAATTACAATGTGTTAAATATAAAAATATTAACAAAACTAATTTTCAAATTTATGTATACTAACAAATCATATTACATTAAGAGTTCCATAAATAACATGTTACACCCGAAGACACAAATATTATCAAATTAATATTATCATAATATTATCTTTGAAATTAATTAATTATTTATTAAAGAATAGATGAGCATTTCAAATGTTTATGGTCAATAATATTGAATTACCTACAATATGAAATTCAACTTTTTGAAAACCTGACATTTACACTGTTTAATATTGGTGTTCTTAAATTTTATGTTTTTAAATTTTTGTGATGATATAATATTTTAAAGAATAACCTATTTAAATTGTATAAAATGTAATATTCAGACTGAAATTACTTTGTTACTTTATACATTTAATTGTTTTGTTATTATTATAATGTATTTTTGGTTACATTGTTGGATCGAGGAAGCTCCTAAATTGCTTTATAAACTTTATTAAATTATAATATATAAATTATAATCTTACATTGTCTACTGTTTATTATTTTAATACATAATTGAATCATATTATATTTTTTTATTTTAATTATTGTACCACAATTGATTATGGTATCAGTTAGACAGATGTGGTATCAATAAACAATTACGTCTTATCTAGGTACTCAGCTGTTCTATCTTTAATCGTGTCTGATGGTGTGCCGTGTGGGACAAGGGTATAGGTATAACCACGGTCCACGGTTGTAGATATACAACTTAAACCGTGGCTATAACTGCGAAGACCGAGCGAAGCGAAAAAAAAAAAAGTGGGGATTTTTCGAAACTTTTTGATGATATAATCGAAACTCTTCATATTTAGACGCGGCAACACTGTATTCAGTTCATTGTTGACGGGACGGGTACAGATTTCCCGATTTTGATAAGCGAAAAATTTGTTATGATATCTCGATATACCACAACTCGTACCAGAATATACCAGAGATCCAGCAGTGACACCACCAATAAGAAATAATTTACAGTGATGCCTTGTTAGCGGCACTCGTCGCTACGCTCCTCGGCGCCGTCGCTCCGCTCCGCAAATCGAAAATATCCCTCGACTTGCTATGCAACACCACCTCAAGTTGGTCACTGTGTAACCGATGTTATACCAAAGAACAACCACTCTTATCATTTAAGCCAAAAGCTTATCACTACCGCTATCAAAATCGGGAAATCTGTCCCGGCCCCCATTGTTGACCTGCAGCGAGACCGCACGTATGTACGGTTGTTCGCTCTGTTATCGCATTTTATTATGTAATCAGTTATCAGTTCACGGATTTCATTCCGTTGAATACGTTTTCATTTAATATGAATTTCCCTCCGAAAATTTCCAAATCCAAACGGTCGCTGCCGTCTTCTCCAAATTCACCTATTCAAACGGAAACCAAAAAAACCAAGTCATTTGTTTCGCCAAATAAATTCGCTGTCCTAGCCAACAATGAGGACCACGATGTCCAACTCGATACTTCTAGTGATACTACCAATATTATCAACGAGTCAAATCTTCATCATCAACAGGACAACCTCAGGGCTCCGCCAATATACGTTCAAAATATCACCAACTACTCCGCATTCAAAAATGCATTAATACAAATCACCGGCCTAAACGGTTTTTCTTGTAAGTCTACTTCTTCCTCTCTGATTATTCGACCGCATTTACGTATTATGTTTAACCTAATCGTTAAACATCTAATGGGCACCAGTGCCTCTTTTCACACCTTCATGCCTCCACCATATCGACCTCACAAGGTCATTATCAGAAACTTGCACCATACAACACTCATTTCCGATATATCTGACGCACTCTCGGAGTTAAGTCACTCCACCAGACGAGTAACAAACGTCATAAAAAATGGGCACCCATGCCCACTGTTTCTTGTGGAATTAAATCCCAACACCAACAATAAAGATATCCTAAACTTATCTTCAATTTTGCACACATATGTAAAAGTCGAACTACCATATAGGACAAAGAGTGGTCCACCTCAGTACCGTAACTGCCAAAACTACGGTCACACCGCAAATTATTGCCACCATCCTCCACGGTGTGTCAAATGTGGGAGTGACCACCACACCGAAGACTGCACCAAATCCAAAACCAGTCCAGCCAAGTGCGCCCTATGCATGGGTAATCACACTTCCAATAACAAAGGGTGTCAAATTTTCAAAGCTCTTCTCAAACGACGCAAAATCACTCAATCGAAACCACAGAATCCGATTCCGGTACCCACTTCTCTTCATCACCAGACTACCCCTCCCCCTCCCAAAACTTCTTACGCCTCCGTTACTAACTCCAAAAATATACCTCTACCCAATATCCACGCAATTGATAATCCACTAACTAAATTTTTATCTGAACTTTCCTCTTTAATCACTCCCCTCATTACGCTCCTTTCAGCTGTTCTGAATAAACAGATTGTTCCATAGTCCGATACTCTGATACCTTTCTTATCACATAATTTAATTGAATTTAAATATTTTTGATTGCCAGTATGTAAATAAAATTAATGTACCTATAGGTCTTCAATTCATATTATTACTGTAACATTTTAGTCTATATCATATAATTGTAATGTTTAATTTTGTACCTGTACAATCGTAATTGTCGAGCTATCATAGTTTCAACTAATAGCTAATAAAAAAAAAAAAAAAATGTAATATTAGAATACACTATATTATAATATACTATATAGAATGTATTGTTAAATTTTATAATAAAACACTTATAGTACCTAGTCCGAAATGCATTATAATAAAAGTTAAAAGTTAAAATACATATATTTAATGTTAATTTTTAAATTAGCTTAATTCATTAAAATTGTATATGTATTTACATTCATTTTTTTAAAAAATTATATTTTTTTAAATAGAAAGTGGTCGTACAGTATTTAAGTATTATGGTGAGTACCTATATAATTATTTGACAAAAATAAACATTTTTCTGGGAATTAGAGATTTCAATGACACCGGATAAATTTAACTTACTAAGAAATGAGCGATTATTTTATGAGTAAAATATCGTCAATGGCATTTAGGACTAAGGAATATCTAAACAGACACTGTAGTAAATGGATTTGTATTAAATTTAAATTCAATGATGAATTATTGCATATGAACAACTTTTCTGAGCGAAGATATAATTTTGTAATGGTTTGTCTAAAGTTTATTTGATGATGTATCTATTATTTGATATTTATATTGCTCTCAAAATAATTTCTTTTACTTTTAGTAATATGGTAGATTAAAACAAGGCTGGGCATTAACGAGTTAATAATTTAAAGTTAAGTTAAAAAGTTCAGTCCGTGCTCAGACACCGTTCAGTCCGCACGTATATTGCCTCGCACACCGCTTATCTGTTCCGATATTATAGTCGTTAGTGCTCGCCGTTGCGCCCGGCGCTCATTACGTTATCAAGCTGACGGTAATGTTTAACTTATCGTACATCCCAAGTTTAATAACATCACTAACTCGCTATCGAAATCACTATGAATAATAATCAACCAAACAAACCTATTAACATAACTAAAAACAAAACGAACCAAACCGCTCCACCGATTACTATCTCAAAAACAATTACAACAACGAATTCAAAAGCTAATACAAAAGCTAATACAAAAGATAACACTTTAGATTCTGGATGGTCAACACAATCAAATAAACGTCTACACTCCAACTCCTCAAACTCACTATCCGAACCCTCATCTCCGAATGTGAATATGGATATAAATGGTAAACAAAAAACATATAAAAAAAAGTCTTTGCTTCACGCAATAGGTTTGAACCACTTGCCCAAGATGATCCATTTGACCCACCCACTACTGAAAACATTTCTACAAACTCTCAGCAAAATTATGTTGAAAACGATATAATGGAAAATGAAAACACACCAATTAAACCTCCTCCGCCTATTTTTGTTAAAGGTGTCGAAGACTTTCCCGCACTATGTACAGAATTAATAGAGCTTATAGGTGTTGACAATTTTATATGTAAATCTTCAACAAATTCTCTGAAAATTCAAACTACGGACCCTAATTCCTATAGAGCAGAGGTTCCCAAACTTCTTATTGTGCGACCCATTTTGAATTTTTTTTAAAATATAGCGACCCACAATATCAATGAATGACCTTTTTTTTTTTTTACCATACAACAGAAAATTAAACAATTTTATTACATTTTATGTAATTACGAAAAAAATGTATAATAAGTATAATATATAGTATTTGACACGGCCTCTGGTAAACTCGTAATTGTCATACTCACAGATAAGGATTGACGATAAAACTGAATTTGAACTTTGAACATCAACGAAAAGTAATAGATGATTATATTTTTGTATTATTTAAAAAAATAGTGCGACCCACCAAAAGTATAATCGCGACCCACTTTTGGGTCGCGACCCACAGTTTGGGAACCTCTGCTATAGAGTATTAGTACGTTACCTTAAAGCTGAAAATGCTGAGTATCACACATACCAGCTTAAAGAAGAGAAACCACTTCGGATAGTTATACGTAACCTCCACCCATCCACGCCTCTAAGTCTAATAAAAGAAGAGTTGGAAGTTCGTCTTTACAAGGTAAGGCAAGTTACCAATGTACTTCATAAAGTCAACAAAAATCCCCTCCCCTTATTTTTCGTTGATCTCGAACCAACACTGAAATCCAATGAAATTTTTAAAATGTCTTCTGTTCGAACACGGCTGAACTTCCCGCCGAATCTACCAAAGTCCAAAGGCTTTACAAGTCTCATGTTCGGCGCGGAATGTTCGCGATGAGTCGTTCCCCCTCCACGGCGTCCACACGCCGGCCGGCGTCCACGGCTCCCGTGCCAAGGACGTTTTTTGTGGTTGTCTTTTTCCTACGCTCGAGCCTGGCGGATCACGTACCGCCGGTTCGCGTGGCTTCGTGTGGCTGTGGTTAGACCTCGTGGTCATTATTCTTAACTATTTATGATTTACGCTCATAATTGGTGCACGTTTATACCGTCGTAAACTTGAAGACAGTTTAAGTTTGACGGACTGTGTCACCCCACACCACCGAGTTATTTTATTATATGTGTCAACGCTGGACCGTCGTTCAACTGCGCCCCGGTGCCGATTTTGGTTGATGACGAGGAAGACGCTGTCGCATTTCCAGCGAGGACCGTGTTGACCAGTGACCTGTCCCCGAGGTGTCGATCAGGTCATATTATAAAATTACCATTGTTTATTGTTATAGTTATTGTTCAAATTATTATTTACTGTGCAAACTATTATTTTTATTGGTTATAGCGCGTGTCAAATTGTACACGGCGTTTACAATATTTATTATTGTGTAAAAATATATATATATCGCGTCATTACGCATTAACCTAATCAATAAGATTTGTACGAGGTAATATATTGTGAGTTCGCTCCTCTTCCTTGCTACGGCATTGCGCGAGTCGTTGTCACTAACCGCGATTGTTAAAAGTAGGAGCGACACGGCGCACATCTTCACTACTTCATTGTAAAATAAAAATCGAAGAGCCGTACAAACCGAAGACAATCAGCCAATGCTTCAATTGTCAACAATATGGACACACTAGAACCTACTGCGGCTACCAACCCCGATGCGTCCGCTGCGGAGCAGATCATCAGTCAACTGCTTGCCCGAACTCGCGCAATGCTCCTCCGAAATGTGCTCACTGTTCCCAAAATCACCCAGCCAACTACAAGGGCTGCACAATTTATAAAGAACTCCAACGTCGTAAGAATTCCAGTGCACCAAGTAATCGATTACAAAATAATTTTAATATTCAAACCAATAATGTACAAAGTAGCCATCCACCTGTTCGCACTTTCCCAAATCACCCCTCTCCTCAAACGCAAACTTACGCTCAGGCCACGTCCAATACACCAGATTTCGCTGCTCCTCCTCCTTCTACTGATACTCAGCCGCCTGATTTAAGCAAATTATTAACTAATTTTTTAGACGAATTCAAAAATGTTATAAATCCACTAATTTCACTATTAACTAAAGTAATATCCAAGCTCCTCGACAAATAATGACTAATAACAACTACAATAAATCTGTCACCGACGATTCGCTCTTAATACTCCAATGTAATGCCAATGGACTAAAAAACTATGCCCTTGACCTCGAAACCGTATTAAACCACAAACGCATTGATGAAACCCACTTCACTAAATTCTCCCATATACATATCCCCGGTTATACTCTAATTAAATCAAATCACCCCGACAATACCGCGCATGGAGGCGCTGCTATTTTTATTAAATCTAATATTGAATTTTATCCCTTACCTAGGTTTTCTCAATCTTTTCTCCAATCTTGTGCTATTAACCTAAAATTAAACAAAACTTCACTCACCATTGCTGCTGTCTATTTACCCCCAAAACATAACATAAAAAACACTCAATTCGCTGACTTCTTCAACTCATTTAATAATAACTTTATCATAGGTGGCGATTTTAACGCCAAACATCAGTCATGGGGATGCCGCGTGAATAACCCTCGAGGAGTCACCTTATATAACTATATAAACACTAAGAGATTTATAGTTCTAGCCCCTCCTGATCCAACCTATTGGCCCTCTTCGGCCCGTAAAAATCCTGATATTCTTGATATCTTTGTCTCCAATTTACCGAACACCTTGTTCCACTCTACTAAAAACTTACTCGATTTAAATTCAGACCATTCATCAATACTCCTAACTCTCAATACTTCCCCTTCTGTCAAAGAATCCAACAAATTATTTAACAAATTCACAGATCATGTTAAATTTCACGAACTAGTCAACACAAAAATTAAGCTAAACAAAAAATTAAAATCACCCAATGACATAGACCTAGCGGTCCTCAATCTTACCAACATAATACAAACTGCAGCATGGTCGGCTTCAAATAAAATGCCAGCACCTCCTCCTGCAAGCTCACTTCCTGAATATATACGTAACAAAATTGTAGAAAAAAGAAGAGCAAGAGCTCTATACCAGCGCACGCGTTTACCTTCCCTTAAACATAATTACAACCAATTAGCTAATTCACTAAAAAAACTACTCAAGTCAAACATATGGCAAAATCACTTAATGAAACTCACTCCCTCAGACGGTAGCCTATGGAGAGAAACAAAACAATTACTTCGCTATAAATCTCCTAATCTCCCCATTAAAAAATCAGATGGTAGCTTAGCTACTTCGGATATAGAAAAAGCTGAACTTTTTAAGGATCATCTTGCTAACACCTTTCAACCGCATGCTGACATCATAGACGCTGAAAACATGAAACAAGTCGAAACGTTCTTAAATACCTCCCTCCCAGTGTCTCTCCCTGTCAAGTCATTTACACCTAATGATGTAAAACATGCTATACAAAAATATACTCTAAAAAATCACCAGGCTACGATTGCATTACTGCGGAAGTAGCCAGATCCCTTCCAACTAGAGCCATAGTTCACGTCACTCATATATTTAATGCTTCACTCAGACTTTCCTACTTTCCCCTACTATGGAAATTCGCTACTATAGTCATATTTCCAAAACCAAACAAACCACCTGACCTACCATCATCTCACCGTCCAATCAGCCTTCTCCCATTTTTTGCCAAAATACTGGAACGGTTAATGCTAAAATGAATTCTCCCGATAATAACTGAAAAAAATATTCTACCAAACACCCAATTTGGGTTTCGCGCTTCCCACTCGACTATCCATCAAGCACACAGAGTCGTAGACTCCATCTCGTATTCCTTGGAAAAAAAACAGTTCTGCAATTGCGTGTTTCTAGACATCTCACAAGCATTCGACCGCGTATGGCATGACGGGCTTTTGTATAAAATTAAGAAATTCATGCCTCCCACCTACTATTTACTTATTAAATCCTATCTAACAGATCGGCATTTTCAAATACGCTACGGTTCTGCGTTATCTGACGTAGCAGTTATCAATGCTGGTGTTCCCCAAGGGGGCATTTTATCTCCTATTCTGTATAATATCTTCGCTTCTGACCAACCAACTACCCCTTATACATCCGTAGCAGACTACGCTGACGATAAAGCAATAATATCTATGAGCAATGATCCACTCATAGCGTCATATAATCTCCAAACTCACCTTAACTACATGGAAAAATGGTTTACTAACTGGCGATTCAAAGTAAACCAAAGCAAATCTGTTCATACTACCTTCACCCTCAAGCATGCTTCCTGTCCTACAGTTTTTCTATACGGTATTCCTATCCCTTACTCTCCAAAAATCAAATATCTCGGGCTCACTCTCGACCAAAGGTTAACCTGGGCTCATCACATTAAAATCAAAAGATTAGCACTGAACCATCGTCTCCGTATCCTCAAACCCTTATTAAGCAATAACTCTTTCGCCATTAAAACCAAAATTCTGATTTACAAAACACTTCTCAAACCCATATGAACATACGGACTCCAACTCTGGGGAAACGCTAAAAAGTCTAACATATTAAAATTTCAAACATTTCAAAATATCGCTCTCCGAAAAATAATGAATGCACCACCCTACGTGTCTAATCACACCCTTCATACTGACACCAATCTCAAAACAATTAACGATGAAGCCAAAATATATTATAAAAGATTCTATTCCAAACTAATTAACCACCCTAACGAACTCATAAAATACTTATCTACTCCTTCCATACCTGGTAATCCCCCTAGACGCCTGAAGCGTAAGTGGTGTCGTGATCTCTTAAGATAAGCTAAAAAAATAAAATCCATAGAAAGTGCCATCGATGGGTGGCTTCTTTCATCAAATTTCCATGTCAAACTTTGTAACTCTCAACATATATGCTTATTGTGTCAATCGATACAGATTGTGTATTACGTTTAAAAAATAAAAAAAAATAAAAAAAAAAGTTAAAAAGTTAAGTTAATTTAACTTTTTAACTTAATAAGTTATTTTTTTTTATGTTTATTAACTTAATTGATAACTTTAGGAGCATTTAAATTAACTTTTAATTAACTTGAGTTAATTTTACAATTAAGCAAGTTAAGTTAATTTTAATTTTAATTATTATGTGATGTGTTTTCAATTTTTTTAATTCATGTAAAATTTAAATACCTATATTATGAAATTACGAATATTATAAATGCCTGTTATTTTGCCATCATCGCCAGTTGGTGGTTATAACTTATAGCTACAGATATTCTTATGAATTATTATAAACTATTTTGGTAATATTATATTTGTTTTATACATTATTATTATTATATTATACTTATTATTAAGAATTAATATCTATGTAGAAGATAACGCTAGACGGACTAGACTGTTATGTGGTAATAGTGTAATACCCCGTTTATTTTTGTATAATTTATTATTAGTTCGACGTTTTCGTCGATTTCACCGAAATCTAGAATTCCCGCATGGACGCCTAGTGACTAGTGGTGGTAAAACCATGTTTCTATATTCGATATCGATACCTACATATCTGCTACAACTACTAATACTGTCATTTCCAGGTTTTATTATAATATTAAAATTAGTCCGTGTCACGACTCACGATGAAAAAATGAAAAATATCTTTAATCGCAGTTCGTGTTCTTGTCTTATTGATAATCTAACAACCCATACAGGCCTACCGCTAATTATCGTGTATTAGTAATAACCACAAATAAGTATTCAGTATTCGGTAATCACTGTATGAGTATAAAAATAAATACGCTACTCAGTATTGTACTCGCCTATACTTCGATTTCGACTAAAATATAAAGACGCGGTTAGGTTAAACTAACGCGACCATTTTCGAGTTTGTACAATCTGGTATCAGTCTACATTTTCCGTATAGTACTGTTAGCATTTTGAACACATAAAATAATAACAGTTCTTTGGTGTAATAACATGAACAATTTTGGGTACGAATATTTTAATTTTTCCTATATGAAAACAAAAAAACTTTTTTTAACTTAACTTGAGTTAAAAAGTTAATATTAAATTTTGGTTAACTCTTAACTTAGTTTAATTGATAGAACATTTTGAATTAACTTTTAACTATTAACTTGATTTAGATTTTAATTAAACAAAACTTAACTGAGTTAAAAAATATCATTAACTTGCCCAGCCTTGGATTAAAATAAATTTTGAAGAAAACATTGCATTTCAAAATACCATTGTGTGTATAAAATAAGATATAATGTAATAATAAATATACCTTCTAGAAAATTTCAAAATATTTTTGAATTACCAATAATAATTAAAATAATACTTTGTATGGTATTCTTGGTTTAATTACTTAATTTTTTCCTAATTTTAAATTTTAAATGTCGATAAAAAAATGTATATTTTATTTTTGAGATTTGTTGGTTCTAGTAAAACTAGTATCCTAATTACTCATGAGAAACATCGTATTAAATTTTCAAGCATTATAATTATATGAAAATCGAATAACTAATTCAGTTTTGGCAATAATCATTTTTTTAAATTTATTTGATAATTGATTTTGATAATTTTTTCAAAATTTGAACTCAAATGATTATAAAACATTATTGATAATATTTAAAACAAAAAAACCCACTACTCATATTTTATACAATTTGATATTAATGAAAATGTCTGAGGAGAAATCATAAATTTACTTAAAGTTGAATTGGAAATTATAATAATATAGTACGAATACCTGATTTATGTACTAATACAATTTTATATTTTATGTATTTATTAGAAAACAATAAATACAAAAATCTAGTAACATCATATGCTATAAGTAAGAAAATAATTATAGATAATTTACAACTTAAACTGATTAAATAACACTGATGAGTATTCACTAATATGTACGTATAGAGCTAAAACTATGGGTAAAATAAACAGTTTAAAAATCATTCCATAATTGTTTCAATTGTGACAAACACAAATTGAACATTTATTTTATTTTTTTTATCACACATTTCATACCACCTCTGTTTTTTGCTTTAAAAATCAAAATCATAACTTGGCTGACTTCTATCATATACATTGTAGTGATCGGCATAATAAAGGCAGAAAATACAGCAGTAAATATAGTAGTATAGTTATGGGATACTCTAAATCATCCGTAGAAGCATATTTTGGAATATTAACCTAGTAACAATATTAAAAAAATTTCGGTACCTACATTCAAATGTTTAACTTAAGGTACTTCTTACATCATGATGATTTACTAACAAGTATGCGATATTAATCTTGATCTATATCATAATATACCTTAGCTACAATTGTGCTATTAATTTAGAACAACTTGAATTCGGAAAAAACAAGATAATATATCATACAAACGATTAATGACACTTTCATATTTTCTTCTTTAGCTTTGTTCGGAAAAGGTAAAATTAAAGTAAATACTGAATTATATTTTAGAAAGTGTCTATTTCGAAGTCTATCGCAAATGCGCGTGTCTATACTAATTTAATATAAACTAAAATATAATATAATTAAATATAAAAACTAAGTATATTTAATAAAATTTATTTATTCAAGTATGAGCTGTGATTGATTCAAATATCGATTAACAAATTGTAAGATTATGAATGTTAATTTGATAATTGCCTTCATTAAAAATGTAATTATAAATTTAAAACGGGGCGAATTTAAATCTCAAATGAGGACCCTGTTATAATTACAATGTTTACAATTTGTATGAGATAAATAAATGCTTCTTCTTCTTCTTCTTCTTGGGTATTATCGGCCACTAGGACCATCCCGTCAAACAACCAATCCTCCATGACTCTCTGTCAGCTGCTTTTGTTTTCCAATCTGGGCCACCGTTCAGCGATTCCACGTCTTTCTTTATTAAAACTTCCCATCTTAAACGGGGTCGTCCAAGGGGACTTTTCCCTTTTGGGTTCTCTGTCAATACTACGTGTAGTAGTGGGTTCTGACTACGCCATGCGTGACCCGCCCACTGTAACCTCCTACTCTTGATAAATGCTACAGATCAATTTAACTAGTTAAGAATATCTATAACGGTGTCCCAACGTCATACGTTATAAAACTATAACCATAGCACACTCGTAATATCAAACGTCCACGGTAGCAAATACTTAAAATTATAAAATTGAATCTTTACAAAGTCACCTAGATTAATACTTTGCTCATTTGTAAGAGTATGTAAAATATTACAATTTAAAAAATACTTATATGTCACGGACATATTTGAAATATCTTCAAAAATGCCAACTCGCAAACACAGATAATTCTTTTAACTTTAGAAGTTTTATAATAGGTTATTTCACTCTTATATTAAACTCAACTTTACAAATTGGTGCTGCTGATAGAAAATCGTTATGACATGCGTTGGCCAAAGAAGGAAATAAATGATGTCAAACCGATAAACGGAAAACCAAGACCTTTCTGATAAATATTCAAATCAACAATAATAAGATTACAATTTGTAAATCAATATTTTTATTTTGGACTACAACAAAGGTCCTACAAGAATTGATATACATAGATGAAAAAATAAAATTTTCTATATTTTAATTTGAAATTATTATAAAATATTCTATGGTAGTGTAATGATTAAAATTATAATTAAAAAATAAAGTCTCTAGTTGAACATAATTATAAAGCACTTTTTATTCATATATTGTTATAGGAAAATCTGTTTTCAAGAAAATGCTTGGTAAATTATCTTATACAATATTTTTCACAACCTATCATGATTATCCATAAACACGTTTGCATAATGTATACCTACAAAGAATATTATAAATATTTGGAAAAATTAAAATATCTACAACCAATCCTTTCTGAATTGAAACAATAACTGAAATCGATATTGTTAAAAATTATGTTGCAGGTTAAATATTTATGATTTTGTTGGTTTTCTAGGTATCAAAGTAGCATAAAAAAAAAATAGTTTATTTTTAAATTTGAAAGCAACTTAATTTTAAGAAACACAATATTAAAGAATTTCGTTTCTTCTTACATTATTTAGTGGGTTATGTGGAATTTAAAAAATACGTAACGTCATTGGATAGGAGAAGTCATATTTACGTATCTAATACCTGCGTGTAAAAGCAACATAATAATTTACCTACCTTACATTTATAATTTTCAAACTATTGTTGTATGCACAACAATTTATAGTACTCCAAATATTATAGTTATAACAAAAAATATAGTTTCTAGCTGAAGATTAAGTGATGCATTTTATAATTATTATGTATTGTTATAGATATGATACAACTCAAGAAATGTTCAAGTAAATTATTTAATATTTTAATGCATCATTTTTTTTGTCATACGGACCTATCTATACACATGCTAGTACCTACCACTAATACAATCTAATATCTATGGTTATAGAAACTATTATACTGAATCATATAACATTAAAATTTGTAAATCAATATTTATATTTTGGACCACAACACAGCAATCAATTATAAAAAGATTAAAATAAATAACCACATCGTTTACTACGAATGCAACTTTTGAATATGAAGTTTTGATAAAAGAATTGTTATTTTTGCAATGATTTGAATTATAATTAAAATATATAGTTACTAGCTGAAACTGAAGCAATTTAATAATTATATATTTATATATATATATTGTTTTAGACTTTCCCGTACTCCAGAAAATGACAGGTAAACTATTTTATAAAACATTTTTCACAACCATACGTAATAATATGTATCCTGAAACAAGCTAGTACCGACTGCGAATACTATCTACAGACAAAAAACAAATATACTGCATCATAATATACGGGAAAATGCTACTTGAATTATAAAATTATTCTAGAGTGATTTTAAATCTATAAAGTACATAGATGTACATGTATGTTTTAATAAGATAAACCAATATATGTTAGCTCACCAACTTAAACCAAACCAGAGGCAGATTCTAAACGTTGCACACTATCCCTCCCCATTTGTTTGTGTACCTACCATTATTATACCCATACACTTTTATAGTATTTACTGGTGAATAAAATCGTCACTTATCAGTTAGAATTTTCATTATTTTTATCTGTGGTAATAGTCAATAGAGCATTTACATTCAATTAACATTGAATTTGTATGTAAAATTATCTACCGATTACTACCATAGTTACCAGGTTTTTTTGGAACTCATGCTCAATATTTTATTCAAAATCTTTTCTTATGACTTAAGCTTATTTATATCAATGTATCTGGTCTTTTTTGGTCATTTTTAAATAGTCCTAGCATTTTGGTTTTTAGTACTAAGACTTTTCTTACTTCAAAGTTGATTAATTTTGGCAATGGGAGCTCAACTTGCCCGAAACAAAGTTTGAAAATGAAAACTATTTTTTGTTAAGAATTTGATTGAGGTCACCGACATACTATAACTAAATATGTATATACTTTAAACAAAAATTAAAATTTGGTTGGATATTTTTATTTTTTAGTACATACAGCATACAGGGCAACATAGGCGGCACTTGGGAATGATTCTAGGGGGGGGGGGCAAAAAATTAATTATCATATCCCAGAAAAATGGACTTTCATAACCCAATTTTCCCAAAATAAAATGTCAACCTTGATTTAAATTTTTTTTGGAGTGCATTTTTACCAATTTTGACTTCAGTAAAAAAGTTTTTTTTGACTAAATTTACTAAAATAAAGTATAATTATCTTAAAATATAGGTAACCTAAAATATTAGGAGATATTTCAAAATAATAACTATTGTATTTTGGGGTATGAAAATTTGATTATTTGAATAATAATTCACATTTTACATTAACTTATATCCATATATTTCGTAAAGAATTACTTAACAGCGAATTACAAAACAATGTTCAAATTCAAAACTATTTACTTGAGTGCTAAACATCGACCCTTTATTGAAGCTTCTACATCAAACCTATCAATAATTTTTTCAAAATCAATTTTATATTCGTTATGTATGTATATAAGTTATATAACACTGCCAAATTACTTAAACGTTCTTGACTCATAGTGTCTGTTAAATATGTTTTCAGTCAACGTAGAGCAGAGAAACTACGCCCAGTGCTCACAAGAAGCAGTATTGGTTGGCATAGTTAAAAATTTTTTCAAAATTTCTGTGTAAATTGGGAATATATCCATGTGATATCCTCTGATTAGTGACTGGCGCTGTAGATAGTGATAGTAAAGAAATTACTAACCATGTTTTCTAGATGAATTAATTTTGATAACAATTATTATCATTTTATCAATATTCGATTATTTAATTAACATGAGTATAATAAATTCTAATATTCTTCTTAATCAGCTTCAAATTTGGAATTTAAAAAACTATTTTCTTGTTTTACATCAGAAATTAAAATTACAGAGGGAATATCATTAATTATTTTAAATTAAATTCAACTTTTCGGCATTCATCAATAAAAGATTGAAATAACAGGTTTTTTTTTGGGGGGGGGGGGCAAAAGTATACATTTGTCACTCCAAAACATTTTTTTTTTGAGGGGCAACTTCCCAATTATGACCCCCGCCAAGTGCCGCCTATGCAGGGCAACAATGTAGTATTAAAAACAAATAAAACCTAACCTTAAATGGTTTCACTAATAAAATATATGCAATTACTCATCACATTAAGCAGAAATTATTTTAATTTTAGAATATGCACGTGATTACTTCATATATCATACAATTATTTTTGAAGAATATTTTAAAGGTACGTATTATAGACAATGCAAATTAATAATAATATTTTTTTGTATTCCATTAAATCCTATAAAACATGGTACTGTGCTCGAGGGTGCTTGACATAAATTTTCTCATTTTCTGGTAATTGACTTGCAACGATTAAGCTGGAAAAGTAATTAATAAGTATAAAAAAAATATTAAATTTTAATAGGTAGATCTAACGAGTACAATGAGCTGTCAGTTAGAGCGTTGAGCTGACAATTAATATACTCTTAATCCAACTTAACATATTGTAAGAAACAATGCAATAACAAACGAAATAAATGTGTCATCACTCACTTCTATTGTCGAAGACTGTGCATTTTAAATTGTGATAGACATTATAATAACTTGTGAGGTTAGTGCACTAAAAAACGTCTACAGACAATTATACGAACAGTACACTCGCGGTTAAACATGCACTTGTATCTGCTACTGTGAGTTATTTAGAACACAGTCAAACAATTATAGTCTACTCAGGGTTCGAGGATTTGCAGTAACGGTGTTTGAAAACTATAAATTGACATTTAAAAATAAATACGTAATATCCGATATAGGTATTATATGCATTCCTGCTTCATAGTTTATTATTCAATATTTATTATATACATTTTTAGTAATGTTATAATTTGTATTTTTATGTATATATTATTAAGTTGCTCCAACTAAGTTTTTGACTTTTTTTTTATTATGACAATAGTTAACCACACCATATGATTTTATTTTATTTGTGTATTTATAACATATATCACTGCACTAAATATTTATAAATTAAAGATGCAGTATTAACTATTCAATTTTCAATAATTGATGTAAATAATAACATAATGTAATATATTGTGTTTCTTTTGTTTATAGTCTTTAACGAGTTTGTTCCTTATACATTTTGCACTACAAATGGAGAAGCCTGAAAATCTTTCAATAAAACGAAATCATTAAAAGTGGAGGATTCAATCGTTCGTTTTAATACTAGTTAACTATTTTGTATGTACGAATTTGTAATTCAACAATTCTAAGACCCACTTGTTTATATTATAGTCTTATAAGTACTCTTAGGTTACAAGTGCAATTCGTCACTTTAAAAATATTTATTTAATTGTTTTCTGGATACCTAAATTTTAGTCAAATTAAATTGATTTTACATTTCTTGGAAACTCACGAATAGCTTTTTTCACATATTTTATACATAATATGGCCGTTAAAACACTACTCGTTACAAATAAAAAATAAACTTTGATTACAATTTGAATACATTTTATGATTTTGCAATTATTTAGCTAAATAAATAGTCATCATAACAGGTGAGGAAACGCAAAAGATTTTGAATATATGTGATTGTACTTTTGGCCCTCGACACAAAATATCATTTAATAATAATCCAGATTTTTCAGGAGCATAGCCATCAAAAACTTCTCTAGTTTTGGTGGATATGCTTTCGGTCTTGACGACTGCGGAATAAGGCAAGTAGTTTGTGAGCTTGCTAACTGCAGTCGGTGCAATATGCATATGTGACCTAAATCAATATATTATTCCATGAGAGTCTTGTACCCTATAGCTAATACAGCGTCATTTGCATTTTGACGCTCTACCCTCTATATAGTAGAAATATTTCATTGACATCATTTGTGAGTCGTGTAGGGTCCCTAGATTAGCTTTCAGAGGTAACCAAACAATGAACTTGGCCCACCAATATGAACATATCAATCAGAAAACTATACCATGATAAATAAAACATAACTAGTAGATTTGATCTTTTGATAATTTTCTACTTTAATTAAATTTAATATTTATTGTGTTGCGTTTTGTTACCATTTTTGGTTTAATTCACAGACTTAGATATAAAAGATTGAAAACTAGCAGATTATCTGTGACAATAAATGCACGTAGAAGAAAGAAATTCACACAAACTCAAATCTAATGGGCGGAAAAACACATTTTCATTTCGGATGCCAGCGTAACGTTACTCCAGCATCCGCATTCATGATTTTCATTTTAGACACTCAAAACTGGTACCAAAATGTGTTATATAATTTGTACAAATTTGTAAACGCATTTTGAAAAATTTGCACACCCTCCCTAAGGGTGGAAAAACACATTTTCATTTCGGATGCCAGCGTAACGTTACTCCAGTATCCGCATTCATGATTTACATCTTAGACACTCAAAACTGGTACCAAAATTTGTTATATAATTTGTGCAAATTAATGATCATTAAGCAATACTATAATTTAACATACTATTTTTATTTTTATTTATAATTAATTTTACTGAGTATACGCTTTAATGTTCTTGATATGTAAACGTGTTCCCCCCTGTATACTACGTTATTATTAATTTTATATTTAAAATTACATACACTCTATACGAGCCTCTATAGTTTACAATCATACTCCTAAAATATATTTTCATAAACATTTAAATTTTTTATGATTACCTATGTTAATTTCTAAACCCTCCTCTCCCCACTCCTTAAGAAGTAAAAAAACCTAAATATTTATTAATATTTATAGACTTAAAAGTATACCCGATAGTCTATAAATTAGGTATCACAACTTTGAGTAATTAAGAATAAATGAAAACATTGTTATATTTATGTTATTGTGTGACGCAGTGTACACGAAATAATATTTATTGACAAAATTATTTTCAGTAATGCATGTGACCGTGCATCTTGGCGTCGATGATCGTTATCGATAAGCTTATATCATAATTTTAGATGTAAAATATTATATTTATATAATATAATAAATACTAGTTGCTTGTGAAACTCGCTGTCCTGAAACTCGGGAGCTTGTGAGAGTCGGCGATGCAGACGTCAATGTCGTTGAAATTACTTTTAGAAGTCACTCCTGTTGACGTCATGGGTAGTTAAAAAACAAAAATTTAGGAGGTGATAACGATTTTTGATAAGTCTTAGAGATCTCGTTTCGAGCGCGGGAATGTTTGAAATTTCACTTTACCCACGAAAATCGGCAATTGAATAACACGGTTCCCCGTCGCATGTCCTTTGCTTTTTCGTATGTAATAAAAATGTAAATTCGAAAACTGAGTTGGAATGTCTAGCAAGTCCGTCACCTCAAGTGAAAATCGTTTAACATTCAAGTTAGCCAGCTACGTAGGCAATCCGACTTCGTCGGATCGCAGACCCTCCGTTCAGAGTCTATGAGTGAAACTCAACTAATTGGTTGTATTTACCTACATTATACACACATAATGTATAGAAAATGAAGATCGCAAGTAGGTAATGATATTCGGCATGATAAACCAAAGATATTCTAATCATACGGATAGACGGTAGTAGGTATAAGTATTTTTGAAATTATTTCATAATGTAAGCACCACGAAGATTATGTTTACAATAATAATGGAGATAACAATGAAATAATCATTGGAACTTGGAAAAATCATGTAAAAAAAACCGGAAAAAAAATGCAAAAAATCCGGGCAGTTATGCTACAGTATAGGACTGCCGTGGTAACGGCGGCGACGATACATCCGCCGCCGGAGTTTGAACTCGCCTACCCTACGACTGTTACCTAACGCCTAAACCTACGGGACACCCAATCAGATGCTAACCGACGGAAAAATTTGAGCATTTAAGCCGTTTATATTCATAAGCGAATACTACAATAAGCGATGTTTAACCGATGAAATCCGTAGGATATGGCCATTATTTTTATTGCATATAGTTAACAAAATAGATGTAAATACATAGCAATTTCTGTTGTTGTAATAAAAAAACTAAAATATTTGTATTGCTATTATTATGCGTAATAGTATACATGTATTATACGGTTCAGCATCAAATAAATAGTTAATTTATTTAATATATAAGCAATATACAATTGAACGTACTCATTCAACTCAGAGTGTATTAATTGTGAAATCCGATATTATATCACATCATCGAGCACTAAAATATTGTCTTTTATTTATTACATATTACATATTTTGGGTTTTCGAGTAGATTTGTTGAAATCCAACCACAGGATTGTGTGTTGATCTCATCGAAATCGCCTAATAATTTTTAATTTAATATATCGCATTCGGACGTTCCACAGTCGCAGAATTATACGATCGATATGGACCTGACCGTCGAAGAACAGTCCTGTTTCATTCGATATATTTAACCGAGAGAAGGACAAAACAGTAAGTGTAAGGCTCCGTTCGACGACTTTGGTTCGGTCTGTAAAAGAGATTTCGAAGTGTGAGAATGGGGCACGAAGAAAGGCGAACGGAGCTCGAAAAGCAAAAGTTTTGAAACAATCCCGGCGATGAGGCGAAGACGATATTTCAAAACGATAACGCGGCGATATTTTTTCGCGCTCCCATTGGCCGGGAAGCGAACGCTCGTGGAAGAAAAGAAATAGTCTTTCGTTCCGGGAGGAAAAGACTCCGGGACCTTACCATTTTATATATTAAGATAGATCCATGCAATGAAGTTAAAAATAGATGTGTAAAGTGTAAAAATAATAACCGTTCTTAATGAACGTGATAACAAGGAAATGTCGCGTCCTCGTCTAGACCGTCTATTATCATCATCTATTGTTTAACACAACTGTTTTAGGCTGTACTGTTAATTTTATTAAAAATAATATTGCGATACACATTAGTATAGTCTGTTCTCGTTGGAATTCCACTGTGATCTGATGGTTCTGAATTTATAGTTTATGTTTAATTATTATTAATATACAAGTGTTTTTTATTCGTATTCAGTTCACTATAATGGTAAAGTACCTACGATTTGCATATAAGTATTACCCTATGGCCTATGCCTTAGCTAGTGCGGGCGAGTGTGTTCGTTTTATATACTGACCATGCTGCTCTGCACGCAATGCGTTGCCCGCATGCGGCGAAATACAAGCTATTTTGTTTTTCCCCGCATGCGTGCAAACCAGCTAGGACATGGCTTTAAGTATTAGGCCATCTCAACCCACGAATTTAGATATACACCAAAAAATCTTTAATTTTTAAGATATTTACATAATTTTTTTTTTTTCTTAATGATATCTGCTTGTATTACTGCATTAAAATATATTGGATTTTTTTCGAAATATTAAATATAACACTATTTTTTTTATTGGTAAAGTATTTTATTTAAATATTTTAACCGTTAATGAGATTTAGTGAATACGAAAATGATTTTTACTGTTTGTTTTGGGCAGTGGCGGCTCGTGAACCGTATGAGGGGTGAGGCAAATAAGCAATAAATTATTAATCAATTGAATACTACCATGGTTCTACTGAAGTACAAGTATTATAGTACATAGTATTATAGTACAAGTATATTAGAGCCTTAATACAAGTACAAAATTGAAAATTGAATAATAATTAAATTATAATATGTTCATTGTTATTTGTTCGATAAGAACCGAAAATATCTTTAGTTTGTGATAAAAGTATTATAGGTAGATACCTATTGTCCCCAGACACAAAAAAAACTTTAAAAAAACACACATCATTGTAAAATCAATACACTCATCACTCCATTCAGAATCTAAAAAAAGTTGTGAGTTTACTGTTAAATATTTTGTTTAACCTACTGTACAGCAGAGCGAAATCCACTTACCTTTTTTTTTTAAGCTATTTTTAGGCATTTGAAATATTCGATTTTTTGATAAAAGTAAGTATATCTATTTAGAATTTAGATTATCTTGAATTTGTTTTTTTAAGACATTTCGTTGGTGATATTAAGTTACCTATGTTTTATATGTTTAGGCTGGTAGAAAACCAAAAGTCGATCCATCTATTGTTGATACAGAAATTTTGAAAAACAAAAATGAAATTTTTGATGGTAAAAGTAAGTTATATGTGAAGTTATTTTTTAAAGTTATTCTCCAATTAATTTACGTTATTTGATACAAAAATTGTAAATAATTTTAATTTTATAATAATTTTACTATCATACATTAGAAACATAGAACAGGTTTAAATTGTTAGAATCAACTTCACCTGTCTTACATCGCAATTACCAATACAAATTTAAATTACGGTGAAAATGATGTTTATATTATATTAGATACCATACCTGGCTCCATAAATGTCAAAATCGGACAATTTCTTATTGTTTTTATTTTATTGAAATAATTGTTCAAAACATAAAAAAAAAACATTCCAACAATATCAAATAGATTTATTTGACATTGTCGACACCGAATTTAGAATATAATTGTGTTTTAATTTAGCTATAGTTGGTGTTAACGCCGAAGTCTGGCGGAGAATTGCTTCCAAAGTAAGTGAAGGAATTCAGGGTATTATTACACCAGGATCCATACGTATTAGAGTTACTTGTAATGGTGGAAATATTCTG